CGACGCATCCCGATTGCGATGACGGCCACTGAGAAATGATACTCAAAAATGGTATCTAAGCCGCACCACACACGATATTTTATGTTTGAATTACATGGTCCGTAGAGAATGTCATATCGTGTCATGGGTCATATCAAAAGAAGGTACTTGCGGTATAAATATCAACAACAAAGACATAGTTTCAAGAGGTCCGTAGCAATAATTACAAAAGAATGGGGTAACTAAAAAAAAAGATGGGGAGGATGAAGCTACATAATGTAACGCCGAACAAAGGATGCCAAATGAGGGTTTTAAAGCGTAATTGATAATCAAATACTGGACATAGGTCCACAGTAGACAACAATATAGTGGCGAGGCTAGGTCCTTACTTTCCTCTTTTTGTTGCGTTCTTCTTCTTGATCTTCCCTCTCAATAAGTCTGCTACTCCTTTGATAGAATCGATAGATTTTTTTCTTAAAAAAAATGACGCCGAGCTTAGTACCATGTATACAAAAAAACGTCGCAATAACGTATACTTGCAATATTTTTTTAACGTCCAATAGGTTCACAGTACATTCCTCCGTCACTTTTCGCCGGAAGATGCTGGTGACGGGTTCTTTGGCGCATTCGTCGCGTCACCGTCCGTCCCAGACCTATCCCCTACCAAACCAGATGGCCTTTTCATAATAGGAAAATAAAGAAAAGGTAAGGAAAAAACGCGTGAAAATAGAAGAGAATCAAAGCGCGTCAAAAGAAGATAAAGGGACGCGAAAAGGAAAGAAAAAGAGATGGGAAAAGGAGGGCCCTTCTTCGTGGTCCTCGTCAATAGATATGTTAAATAAAATTAGGAATAAAATCAAAAAATCATGGTTACACAAGCAACTGTAGTTTAGGGGCAGAATTGAAGCTTCCCAAGCTTTAGGTCCGGGTTCGATTCCCGGCAGTTGCACTTTTTTATTAGCAGAATTTTTTTTTTTCAATATGATCGTGTTGCTTTATCACTTCTTTAGGTTATATTAAATATTTATCGTGGAACACATTTAAAAGCACGCAACAGATTGAGTGAAGTCAGGGTAGGAGGTGATTTCCAGTGATTTTTAATGAGTGTGGTCTTTCGACATTGAGGTGGACAGCGAGGATTTAAGTTGCTGTGGTTTTCATTCTAATTGTTAATAATAAGGGAAAAAAGGAAGGGGAATGCCTAGCGACAAGTTCTAAAGTGACTAGGGGAAATGGGTCTACGAGAAGGGATGACATCCTGCTCCAAGAAGTGTACCAGGCCTCATGTTTGCCGCAACAAGCCCTTTCAATATGTTCTATCTTGATCTCATCTTCCTAGGGCCCTGCTCATGCCGCTCTCCCACTCACAGGCAACTAGATAGCCTGTCATAGCCATCAAGAATAGAATATAGGTAGTTATACTGACCAAACCTTCAAAGGAATCATGCCCTTGAGGTGCATTCCCATGGCTCATACCCTATTCAACTTTCTATGAATACGAAAACAAGACATAAAGGGAATCAGAGAACAACAACAGGCATCTCGACCAACGCAGTAGCATGTCATATGTTGGCATACCATGTCGACCGCCCTTCCCTTTATAAAAACCTCTCTCGTATCTATAGGGAAAAACTATGAAAAACCCCGAGAGGGAAAAGAATGGAACGTGAACAAGGAAACAAGAATAGCGGCAGGACATCTATATAAGTGACGTATTTAAGCCTGTCCGGAAAGTCTTATGATCTCAGCAAGCATGCATGTGATTTAGTGCTCAAAGTATGCAGTGGAGGATACCTGAGGAAGCTCAGCGAGATCAATTAATGGTTGTGGCGGATGTTTTACTTGGTACAAGAATTAAGTAGGTTGCGTCACATTTCCTCAAGTATCCCCCATATGCAAAACGGATACTTTGCTTTCCCTGTCACCGCACCTTTCTTCAGTCACTTCCATGGTCGGAACTTTTGGCTCACCCTCCCAAGTGCTGGTTTTGCTCAAGTGATGATTTCGTCTGATTCCGCGATGTTGCCTGTTATCACCTGCTCATTCCTTTCTTTCCCCTTCCCCCATCCCTGCTCTGCTGCCTCCCTGCCTTTCTGCCCCATGCCTGCTTGCCGCTCCCCTCTTGATGCCTTTGGTGATCATGCTTTTCATTGCCATGGATCCCTTGGTTTGGCTATGTGTGATAACCTTCTTTGTGATTGTTTAGTTGGCTTAGCCCAATCAGCTGGCATCCATTGCACTCCTGAACCCGAATATTTATCTTTTTTCCGCCCTGCTGAGGTCTAAATTATTTCTTTGTCTCGCAGCCGGCATACAAGTCTGGGCATTTCTGGTACTTCTCCCCTTTAATCTACCGACTTCTGCTCTTTACTCCAGATGCCGTTATTTACTTTGTGACACTGCTAAACATTCTAAGTATGATGTTACTCACTCTTTCATAGTTTTGCCTTCACTCTTTTGTTTTAATCCCTTCGGTCATTTACGGCCTGCTGCCGTCTCTTTTCTCACACACTTTCAGGTTTTCTTTCAACAGCATGAGTTATTGCAGGAGGTTGTAGCTACACGCGGTTTTCTTTTCGTCAGGCTTGTTTTTCCATTCAGCGGGTATAGCCTCATCTTGTCATTTCAAAAATTAATAAAAATTAATAAAAATTAAATTAATTGTGAGGCGGAGACACTTGTCTGGGGGAATCAAGAATCAAAGGAGCCTCACGAGTTCCTGTTTTTCATTCATCCATCATCCGTCATCTGTCATCCTTCCCTTTGTGATTGTGTACATTCATTGTATTCATACGCATCGTACTTGCAAAGTTTAGTGCGTGTGCGATCAACCTCATCACCACCGACAGCAAACACAGTCTCTATAGATCAAACGATCGCAAAAACAATAACAACTACAACACTCACGCAGCTTCATCCTATCTCATCCATTACCACCACGCAGAAAGATGCTCCAACCCACTCTCCTCCTATCCATCCTCCTTTTCCTGTAATAGCGTCCACCTCGACCTCCCCTCACTACCACAACGCCTTCTTCCTCTCACCCTCTCCCTCCTTCCATCTCTACGCTCCCTCCTACTCTCAAGATGGTCTCACAGGTTTACTCAACGTCAAGGTCGCTTCAAAAGAAGACTGTACCGCCCTGTCGAGTTTTGTCTCGACGAGTGATGGAGAAGGGTTCTGTGATGGGTTAAGGGAGTTGGAGGTTGAGAGGGATGGAGTTGATGGGTTGCGTTAGAGAGAAAGTGTAGGATTGGCTACGAGAGGTGAGTTTGTGTGAGCTGAGCGAGATATCAGTCTTTGCCCGGGGCGAGATATCTCTGAGTCACTGATAATTTAATGCGAACGTTCGCCAAAGGCATCCGTTCGCTTAAAGGGAGATATTTTTTTTGTTTACTCGTCTTTGGCCGCCGCAAGCGAAGTTTGCAGTATCGGTAGCTGTTTTTGACTATCCGCGGACGAAGCGCGCCGGAGTTATAATTAACATTACCATGATATACTACTAGATATGACCTCACTCGTCTAAATTACTCATTTTCTTTCTTTTCTATTAATTTAGAGTCGTGGAAGACTGCAACTATGCAATGTCATCGAATGCATCACCCATATTCCAATTCAAGTACCAATTCACCGCCCCAACTCCTCACCCCCAGAATCGTGTTAAAGACGACACTCCCCTTCCCAACACTACCGCTGTAGCTTCACCTACAACCGCAGCACCAACACCCACAGCAACTTCATCGGGGATCCCCTACAAAGTCGATGCTAAAAAGAATGACGATGGATCTTATACCGGATCCATTCTGGCTGTGGCAAAAAGTTACAGGGATTGTGGCATGATCAGGTCTTGGGTAACGAATGCAGAGGGAAGGGGGTTTTGTGATGGGCTTTTGCCGTGGGATAGGGATAGTGGGAGGAGTTTTAAGGGGGAATGTTTGACCGAGTATAACACGTACGTCCATAGCTCTCTTTCCTTTTTACGGACTCTTGCCAACTCACATGTCCTTTTTGTTTTTAGCGCCGCTGACAAATGTGTGTTTTACTTTGACGCCAACCCATCTGGCGTTTACACTTTCAAGTTTTCTTTCACTGGCAAAATCCAGACTTCCCCCTCATCCCCCACACCATCCTCATCCCCCTCTTCCAATGTCACCGCGTTCAATCCGATTTATAACTCTGATAAGAAACGTGTTGAAGTCAAGCTTGTTGCAATGGGCTACTCGGATTGTCTCGACTTTAGGAAATATGCGCATGTACCTGAAGGCGACAGGAAGGTAAAGGGTTTGGGAGTTTGCGATGGATTACCGGTTTGGGAGGAAGGAAAGAAGAAGGCTGGAAGTGAAGAGTGTATTGAGGCGTTTAATATGTGAGTTTCTTTTCCTTCATCTCTCTGACTTTTACATCCCTTATTGACTGTATCCTCGACTTTCTTTCTACTTTACAGCATTGCAGACAAGTGCGTTATCGCATTCGACAAAGGCTCAGCCAAATACGACTTCTTCTTCACATTTGACGCAACCTCCTACCCAACTTGGTCCAAGCGCTTTCCCACCTCCACCATCTCATCCATACCCAACTCCCTTCCTTCCACCATCGCATCATCCTCCTCACTCCCTACTTTCAACCCCGTCTACAACCCTGTAACCCACACCGCTGCTCTCATCACAACCGCCTCCACCTACGCCCACTGCGCCTACCTCCGCTCTCTCGCGTATACCACCACCTCCAAGGGTTTCTGTAACGGCCTCCCAGTATGGGATTCCTCCACCGGACGCAACTGGAGAGGAGAATGCATCGACAAATACAACAAGGTCGCGGATGATTGCGTGAAAGCTGTGGATACCGCTAAAATCCCGTTTACGTTCAACGTTGTATTCGTGGCATCCAAGGAGGGGATATTGTTTTACACCGCTTTGGAGTACCACCAAAACTGCACCAACCAACATCCCTACACCTGATATGGTTGGGGAGGTGATGAAAGGGTTTAAATCGGCTTTTTCCCGTCCTGTGATGCGAAGAAGGTGGAACCTGTTGTGAAGGAGTATGTGAGGGAGGTGACAAAGTTGGAGGGATGCGTGTATCGGGATTTTGGAAACGTGCCGCCGAAGTGCGCGTGTGGCGTTACGAAGTCTTTTGTAGGAAAGCTTGGGGGTGCATGTGAGGGAGCTGCGAGGGAGGTTGGGAAAGCTGTTGAAGGAGTTTGTGGGGCGACGGCTCAACAGATATGGTTGGGGAGGTTGATGAAAGGGTTAAATCGACTTTTACCGTCTTGTGATGCGAAGAAGGTGGAACCTGTTGTGAAGGAGTATGTGAGGAGGTGACAAAGTTGGAGGGGTTGTGTGTATCGGGATTTTGGAAGCGTGCCGCCGAAGTGTGCGTGTGGGGTTTACGAGTCTTTTGTGGGAAAGCTTGGGGGTGCATGTGAGGGAGCTGCGAGGGAGGTTGGGAAAGCTATTGAAGGAGTTTGTGGTGCGTCGGCTCCAACAGATATGGTTGGGGAGGTGATGAAAGGGTTGAACCGACTGTTCCCGTCTTGTGATGCGAAGAAGGTCGAACCTGTTGTGAAAGAGTATGTGAGGGAGGTGACAAAGTTGGAGGGGTGTGTGTATCGGGATTTTGGAAACGTGCCGCCAAAGTGCGCGTGTGGGGTTACGAAGACTTTTGTGGGAAAACTTGGAGGTGCATGTGAGGGAGCTGCGAGGGAGGTTGGGAAAGCTGTTGAAGGGGTTTGTGGGGCGACAGCTCCAACAGATATGGTTGGGGAGGTGATGAAAGGGTTGAACCGACTTTTCCCGTCTTGTGATGCGAAGAAGGTGGAACCTGTTGTGAAGGAGTATGTTAGGGAGGTGACAAAGTTGGAGGGGTGTGTGTATCGGGATTTTGGAAGCGTACCGCCGAAGTGTGCGTGTGGGGTTACGAAGACTTTTGTGGGAAAACTTGGGGGTGCAT